TTCAAAGTAATCAATTACGTGCAAAACTATAGAATCTTGCGGCGATGAGGGAACAATTGAATCCTGCTTGCCCAAAAAATGTACCCGTTGATTCGCATCGATGAATGCACACCCAGAATTGTTGCAACTCAGGGGAATCTTCGCCGTATGGTAACCAGGAACAGACAGAGATGCGAATGCGGCATCACGCAGTTCCCAGTTCAGAAAGATGGCAGCTTTTAAGAACAGGCTAACGACCGCTTTCGCGATATCCGTGCAGTTGGGGTTGCTCCTAAATATATGTGACATTATTATACGACATGGCAACAAAATAAATAAAATATTCTAAGATTAAGTGATCCCTAGAAGCCAACCGCCCGCGGGTAAGAGTCGACAGGTAAGAGTAACGCAGGTAAAAGTCGAAAACGACTACGATAATAGACCAAATGGCAAAAAATCATTAGTTATAAAGGGAGTGGGAAAGAGGGGCGGCATATCTGATTACGGATCATTCGAAAACACCCGGAAAGACTTTTCAGTTATGGAAAAAGCAATGCCAGATCTTTACATCAGATCATCCATCTAAATTGCGAAATTTCGAACAGAGGCCGACGATAAGCTGGCATTAGACCAGAGTAGAATGCAGAGGACGGGGGCATAAAACATTCAGAAACAGAAATAAACAAACATATTGCAATGGAATGAAGTCCCGTTTGCAAAAGAAACTGAACTGTGCGTTATCGGTTCGTTTGACAATACGAACGAATTGTAACGAATAAACATCTGCCTCTGAACCAAGTAACTGATATAAACAAGCGTTAGATATACTCGAAGCCAAGTTATCGGCGTGCATACTTTAACTGGGCTTCAGCCAGGAACGCCCTGACTCGCTTTTGTCTCAGATTGTACGCTTTCCAGATTTGCCACACGAGCCTCGAATTTGCGTGAAGTAGAAATGAGCTCAATCGTTGGAGAAGAGCGAGCAAATTGCAACGGTCGCCTTCATCGTCGAACAGCTGAACAACTTCCGAGGCGGTAAGAAGCGCGACGAATGAACCTGGGCATCATGTGAAAGTTACTGTACTGCAAACGTTAGCCATTTGACGAAACGAACCAATAGTCGGCCAAAAGCTTAAGCTGCACAAGCACTGGGTTAGCTGAGGGCCCGCACGATGTGCCTGAACAAAAATTAGGGCGGAGTGATACAGGTGGGCATCGATCAACGGCCGAAGACACTGTGTTGAATCGGCAAAACGACAGCTTGTTAAAAAATTGCTGAAATGATCACCCGTTGCACATCAGAAAAATATCGTATGCTTTCGTATACTCACCGAAAGCCACTGTTGGTGCGCTCAAGTTCAGAGGTGTCAGCCACAGCCTTTTTCAAGTATGCCTGTAAGGCCAAGGAAGATAACTGGCTTGCCGCAGTGGCCTCAAGGGACCCAGAACGTAGCCACTGTTGGACGCGATTCAAAATAAACTGCTCCTCGCCGTTTCGCAAAAACGCACTGACCACATCCACCTTCGACCTCTATAATCACGTCTGAGTCACTGTAATGATTTCAGCAATAAGAAACAAAAGAAAATTATCACCTCCACTAGAAGCGAAAGCTCGAACGCGCTTTCCCGTTTTTTCGCAGCAATCATGGCGTTCACCAACCGCTGACCCAACGAGACGAATTCCACGTTCAGAGCTTCAGACCACAGTTTTACCAAACC